CACATTTAGTTGATAAGGTGATGACTCTAATTGCTCTTTTCATGTGTTTTTTGACTGAGCTGGTGACTGAGGGGTATGCACCTGACCACACTACATTACAGTAAGTTACCTGAGGCATACACAAGGCATTGTATAGCATATTCAAGCATCTCCTCGGCAAGAAAAACTTTATTTTGTTTATTATACAAATAGATTTGGCTAGTTTTGAGCAGATGTTGTCTATGTGTGACCGAAAGGATAATTTCTGATCCAGAAAGACTCCCAAAAACTTGACTACTTTACTTTCAATGATGTCACAACCATTTATTACAATTTTGAAAGGTTCTTTATAATTTAAAAAATTTACTGGACCAAACACAATCATCTGAGTTTTTTTCATATTTATTGTTAACTTATTATTTTTAAACCAGTTGCTAATGTGCACAATTTCTACGTTAGTTTTTGCAATCAATTCATTGATGTTTTTGCCTACACTGAAAACATTAGTATCATCTGCAAAGCAGATATAATCAAAGTAAGTTGAAGAGTTTGGCAAGTCGTTTATGAAGATAACAAAAAGCAGGGGCCCCAAGATCGACCCTTGCGGCACCCCAAATTTATTGAGCACTATCGCTGATACTTCATTTTTCCATTTCACGAACTGATTTCGATTTGAAAGATAACTTTGTATCCATTTTAGTGTTGTGCCTCTTATTCCATATTTTTCAAGTTTTCCCAGAAGTATCCTGTGGTCTATACAGTCAAATGCCTTGGTAAGATCTAAGCAAGTACCAACAACATAATTTTTATTTTCTGTCTTTCTCCCGATTTTACGAAGTAATTCTATAATAGCTAATTCTGTTGAATGGTTTTGTCTAAATCCAAATTGAGAATTCGTTAACAAATGATTTTTTTCTAAAAAAAGGATTAACCTGTTGTACATCAACTTTTCGATTATTTTAGAAAAAGCAGGTAATAGTGCGACGGGTCGATAATTCGTAAAATCTGATTTTCCTCTTTCCTTTGCTATGGGAATGATTTTAGCCGTTTTGAAACAAGAAGGAAATTGACCTGACATAAAAGACAGATTAATAAGATGTTCAAGCACATGTGCTGTTGATCGGATGGTAGCCATAACAATTTTACTAGGTATTTCATCCAGTCCAAAAGACGATTTTGCTTTGATTAGTTTTGCTGTAGTTATTATTTCTTCTGTTGTAGTTTGCAAACAGAAAAACGAGTTTGGCAACTGATGATGAATTGTTTCTTTCCATGATTGATTATCCGGTAAGGATTTCTGAAGGTTTTGAGAGATGTTAACAAAGTAGTTATTTAGAAAATTTGCAGGCGATGCTATAATTTGTTCATTATCTGTGATCGATGCAGGGTTGATCTTTTTTTGCCTGCTTGTTAACCTATTAATTATTGACCAAGTTTTTTTCGAGTCATTTTTATTTTTGTCTAACAAATCACAGAAATATTGCCTTTTCAGAATAGATTTAACCTTGTTGCAAATTTGACTTTGTGATTTAAATTTCAGAAAATTCTCACTACTTGAATTTTTAATGAACTTTTTGTACAAGTATTTTTTTTTATTCAGCATTCTGCGAAAATCAGTTGTTACCCAAGGCTTTTGTTTTAAAATTTTTTTAATCTTTCCTAATGAGCTGATCTGACAGCAGTCTTTAAATGCCACACGGAAAATGTTGGTGAAAAGTTCGAAAGCAGCATCCACATCTGAGCACAGTAACACATCTGTCCAGTCGGTCGATAGCAGTCTTTCATTTAGTTTATCAATTCTGTGTCTTGAAAAAGAAAATTGATTTTCTCGGTTTTCAAATTCTATTTTCACTAATTGTTGCTTGAAACATGCAACTATGGGTAAGTGATCCGAAATGTCTGTCAAATGCACTCCACAAACTGTTACGTTCTCCGATGCATTGGTAAAAATATTGTCAATCAGAGAGTTTTTTTGTATGTTTATTCTTGTTGGTTTATTTATTAATGCTTTTAGATTATAAGATGTCAGTAAATTTTGGAGTTGACTACTGTAAGATTCGTAATTTTCCAAAAGATCTATATTCAGGTCTCCGGTTAAATAAACTAGTTTTTTCTCATTATTTATGGCTAACAAAACTTGTTCAAGTTGCTTCATATAAACTTTTTTGCTGTAATGTGGTGGTCGATACGTAACAATAATTAATGAGTTGTTTTTAGACGAGATTCCCACTTCAATTGCAAATAACTCTAGTTCATTTGAAATCATCAAATCATTTCTTATCTTAAATATAATATCATCTTTTACAAAGAGGCCGACTCCACCCCCGTGTCTACCGGAACGATTTTTGCCAACAAAATTGAACCCATTAATCCCAATCGAATCTTCATTCACTTTGTTTAGCCACGTTTCGGTAATGGCTATGACATCAAATTTGAAATCAAAACTTGTTAAATAATCCTTTAATTCTGTTGATTTATTTACTAAGCTTCTTATATTTATATGCATTAAATTAAATGTTGTATTTGTTGTCGAATGATTATCATTAAATAATTCATAATCATTATTTATTTCAGCAGAGTTGTAAAATGTTTTGCACTTATTAACAAAAAAATCATCATCTACAATTAAATTAGCCATTTTTAAAATCTAACTTTTTTTCATTGAATTTCCATTCTCTCACGATGATATGCTGCAGCATTACTTCCGGGTCTTTCATTTTACCTTCATCTTTCTTTTCAACGCAAACTCTGAACATGGTTGAATGTTCGTCGTTGTTAATTGCTTTGGGGTCAGTTTCGTCAGTTCGCTTTATAACTGGGAAACATGTAATCACGTTTATACCACTTGTCTGCAAGAACTCCACAACATCATCTCTGTGGCATTTCTTTACATTGCTTAGGCAAAAAACTTTTTTTTTCATGATTATTTTATCAGGTTGTAATTTTACATGTTCCATAATTTTGGTGCCGATATTCCTCTTTGCAGGTTTTTTTGATTGTTCCATTTTGTTGATGTTCTCATTTGATGGATTTTTAACTGTGTTTACAACGTTTATATTTTTTTCAACAGAACTTGTACTGAGTTTGGTTCTATTCTTGTTTCTGTTCACGACCATTGCATAGGTTTGTAACATGTCGCTTGGTGTTTGTACAGCGTCTGACCAAGCTATATTGTTATTGTTTACGGAATTTATTTTAGCTATTTCTAATTCAGGTTCATGCAAATTACTAACTGGATATTTATTAATCAAGTTTGTACTATCTAAGCTATATTTATTAATGCGGTCGCGTACAGACACCTGTTCGTTACTTAGACGCACGTTGTGCATTGACAGCAGTAATTTATTCATTTCCGTTAATTCATTCAATTTTTCTACCATTTTGTCATTATTTATTTGAATAATATCTAAAATATCTAACCCTTCTCGAGGAACTCTGCTTGGATTCAAGATAACAAAAGTCGGCAAATTTTGTTGTAAATCATTTGAAATAATATATTTAAATATTTCAACTAACTCGACTACCTTGTCAACTTTTTTATTTCCACCTTGTTTGAGTGATAATTTTTCTTTTTTATCTTTTTTTATGATATCCAATTCATTAAGTAACAATTTTTTGGCAGTAGATATTTCTTCGGAATTGTAGAATTCTACAACTGCATTTTTAAACTTTTCATTTTCGATGATATTTAAATTTTCGCAAAAAAACCACAAGAGTTCAGAAATCTGCAGTCGCTTGCTGGCCATTTTTCATACATACATACATACATACATACATACATACATACATACATACATACATACATACATACATACATACATACATACATACATACATACATACATACATACATACATACATACATACATACATACATACATACATACATACATGCATATGTACACACACACACACAAACACACATACGATACGATACGATATATTTTATTTGCTTCAAAAATAAGAAAAGAAGACAGGATGACAATGATCAAGTTATCAGGCAACTTATCTAGAATGGCCGCCTTACAAATAGTTTTAAACAAAATGAAATTTAAACTAAAAATTTCGTAAAAGAAAAATAATAATGTTCAGGAACTAAAATTGTTTCACGAATAATCCACTATATCCTTAAAAGTTAAAAATTAGAATTTTGAATTATGGTTCAGTAAATTGTTCTTCAGTTTGTTTTTAAATGTTGACAAAACTTTAGTACCTAAAACAGAATTCAAATCACAATTAATTATTAAGTTATTCTAAATTGCACAAAATATGAAAAAATAAAATATTCGTTTTTGATTTATTACATCGTATTATGTTTTTGTCCCGATTATTAAAAACAAAACAATAATAATTAGAAAAAATGGTTGGTAACAATCCAGCGTAATGCTTAAAGACAAAATTTGCGCATAATTATACATGGAGATTCTTACAGTTCAAATTACGCGTTGAAATAAACAGCTCCTCTGAGGTAATTGTCCTCATTGCTTTTTTCATGAACCGTTGCAGCGGTTGTGTCAATGATGTTACCGTAGACGAGATGAGGAAGGCAAATTGAACTGTACAGAAGTCTTAAGGTACATCTTGGAAGAAAGAATTTTATGCCAATGATTTGGATACTTTGTTTGTTACGTAACTTATATGCTCTTTGAATGTTATTTTATTGTCAATTACTATTTCCAAAAATTTTGACGACTTAATTTCTGATATTGTTTCACCATCAACAATAATTTTATAAGGCTCTTTGTGATTTAAGTATTGGACGAGTCCAAAAACCAAAAATTTAGTTTTTTCCTTGTTGAGGGTCAGTCTGTTATTTCTGAACCATTGAACAACGGTCTGAACATCATTGTTAATATCATTTACTAACTCATTAACGTTTTTATCACTTTTGAATAGGTTCGTGTCGTCAGCATACATCACGTAATTGAATCTTTCTGATGCGTTTGGCCAGTCATTGATGTAAATGGCAAACAATAGATGCCCAAGGATGCTGCCCTGAGGTACTCCCACATTGATCTCTTGCAATTTCGAATCTTTTCCATTCCACCTCACATACTGCAATCTATCACGCAGGTAACTCTCCAATAATCTGAAGACTTTCCCTCACACTCCATAACTTTCTAAGTTTCTTAGAAGAATTTCATGGTCGACGCAGTCAAACGCTTTACTTAGGTCTAGAAAAATGCCAGCGGTAAGCTTTTTCTCTTCGGATGCTTTGCCGATGTTACGAATCAGTTCAATAATTGCCATTTCTGTCAAATATTTTTTTCTAAATCCATATTGATTTTTTGAGATTATGTTATATTTGCCGAAAAAAGATGGTGATTTATTATAAATGATTTTTTCATAAACTTTTGAAAAACCCGGTAGCAGTGAGATGGGTCTAAAGTTAGATATTTTATAACTGTACATACATACATACATACAAACAAACAAACATACATACATACATACAAACAAACAAACATACATACATACATACAAACAAACAAACAAACAAACAAACATACATACATACATACATACATACAAACAAACAAACATACATACATACAAACAAACAAACATACATACATACATACAAACGTAAGCGAATAGATCCCCGCCAATCACATGCGTTAATTTGGTTACAAATTATAAGGTTTTATAGCAATTTCGCCAAAAAAAGATTTTTACCCTTAACCTTCTTAATGATTGGGTAAATTAATATCTGGCTGATTGGTTTTGATTTGTCAGTTATTTGGTCAACAGTAAATGATTGATTTATTAATAATAAATCAATCATTTATAAAATAGTAAATTAATATCTGGCTGATTGGTTTTGATTTGTCAGTTATTTGGTCAACAGTAAATGATTGATTGACAAGGTTGTTTTGATAAAGCTGGCCGGCTGATTTTCATGGTAGTAAAAATTTATTTCAATCATTTAATTTGTTTCAACTGTTGTTTGAAATATTTCGTTGTTGGTTGGATAGGCGTGCCGTGTTGGATTTGTTAATTTGTTTTTGCACGTGAAAAATTTAATTGAATATTTTATTCGGAAACTTTTTTTCTGAATGCTTTTTTCAAATTCTAAAATGACTAAACACTACAGTTCAAAGTATCTGCTATTTCTAAATATTTACACAAAAATATAAATTAATTTAAAAAAGATTTTTAAATATTTCTAATGTTAAAAACTATTTTTTCAAAATGCAAATGTTTCAAAAATTAAAATCTAAAACAAACACTGGCTATATATAAGTTTTTTTTGTTCAAATTTTGATTTTAAACAGTTTGCTCGTATAATTTACAATCAGCACAACTGCTTATTCAAATATTTGATCTAAATTTATTGATATAAATTAATAAATAAAAAAAACGTTAAAAATTTTTCTATAAAAGCGATCGAAATTTAGGCATGAATCGTGTTTTGGTTTTGCAATAAATTATTTTATTCCAGAGAATAAAATAACTTATCTCGGCGAGATGTTCATTCTTTATTGCTCTCTCATTGTCTGTCTGCTCTGCCAGTACTCCAGCTACGGTATATTCAGAAAATTGAATTATCTATTTAAATTTACGAAATATTTTTATCTATAATTAAACAAAAAATTGTTTTCTGTCATATTTGATAATGAATGTTTGAATTTATTTTTATGAAATAAATAATATTTTGAAAAAAGGGTTGGACTGTCCTGCTTTCGCCATGAGAGCTTGGTATGGCGGTCATCCGGCTCCGGTTAATGTAGATATTGCGGCTGGGAGCCAACTTTTACCAGTAACTGGATAGAATTTTTTTCAAAATTTCTGCTTAATGAACTAAATGACTATTTGGTTTTATACAATTTTTTTCTCACTAATTTCCAGACACATTGCTTACACGGGGGTATCATAAGATCTGGCGATAGTATTTTAAGTCACATTTCTTGAAACAATTTAATTATTAAAACTAAGTATGTTAATTCTATAAAACTGTTTATTTAATAGAGAACATTTGTCCTTATTTATAATTGATAAGATTATGTAACTGGGAGAGGAGTTGTATCTAAAAAAATCATTTCATTACACTTCAATCAAGTTCAATAATTTTTTCCATGTTTCAGTTTTTGTAAGCAAAATTGTTGCCTAAAACGTTTATCACAGATCCATTGTAACTCGCTCTACTATGGTCTTCTGACTCTATACCCTATCCTTTAGGTAAAGCTTTTAACTCTGCTGCTCGTCTAGTTGCTCGTGCCCCTTTCTTTTCTCATATATCTCCATATCTTGTTCTCTTGCACTGGCTACCTATAAAATATAGAATAATTTTTAAAATTTGCACGTTCATGTATAAGTTTCAATCTAAATTATTTCCTAAGTATTTATCAGATATATTAATTGAACCTAAACGCCCCGGTTTACGATCGTCTTCTTCTTCTCGCTTTTTCTTAACTCGTGTTAAACACCCTTTTGCCAAATCTGATTTTGCTCTTTCTGGTCCTTTTCTCTGGAACTCTCTACCTACTTCTCTGACTACTTCTCCATCACTTGCGAAGTTCAGAGCGGATCTCAAGACCCATCTGTTTTCAAAATTCATTGAGGAGCGCTGTTGAACATCGCGGAAATAGTGCTTTATAAGCTAATTGATTGATTGATTGATTGAGTGACTGACTGACTGACTGACTGACTGACTGACTGACTGACTGACTGACTGACTGACTGACTGACTGACTGACTGACTGACTGACTGACTGACTGACTGACTGACTGACTGACTGACTGACTGACTGACTGACTGACTGACTGACTGACTGACTGACTGACTGACTGACTGACTGACTGACTGACTGACTGACTGACTGACTGACTGACTGACTGACTGACTGACTGACTGACTGACTGACTGACTGACTGACTGACTGACTGACTGACTGACTGACTGACTGATTGATTGATTGATTGATAAATAAATTTTTTTTCGGTAATTTTTTGAAACGGTTTGCTTGGCTTTCAAATTTTTTCAACGTCTAACAGCAATTTGGCAGATTTTTTTTCAAAAATTTTATTCACGCTAATCTGTTTAGTGACCAATTTTATTTCTGCTAACAATATAATTCCAATATAATATAATTCCTTGAAAAACGGTCATAATGCA